CGCAAAATGACAAAATGTAAAATTATATGCGATAAATTTGATCTGAAATTAATTGCAAATATATAATTAAAATGAAAAATTGAAAAGGGAAGATTCAATTTGAAATGAAAAATTGAAAACTGAGATGAAAAAAAAAGGAAAATTCAAAAACATTTTTATCCAATTACTTTTTATCATCCAATTGGAGTAATGATATTTTGTAATAAAATTTTCCAAAAATTTTATTAAAATTAATTTCGTAAAAGAAATTCACTTTAATCATTGAATATTTTATCAATTTTATTATTTACAAAAATAAATACCAATCGGTAGTTTGTTGTTCTCAATTTTATTATGGTCAATTATTTGTTATCAAAATGCAACAATAAATTATTAAGATTAATTATTTGACAATTGCTATGATCAATTCGACGCTATCTTTTGTCAACTGTCGTAAATATTACTGTAATATGTGACAATGTACGCGAATATCATATCTTACACCTAATTATTCCTTATCAATATAATGCTTAAACTCACTTTATCAAAGCATTTGTAATTTTTTTAAATGTTGGAAATTTATTAATCAGGTGAGATATTTTAGTGAACAAAGAAAAAAAACGAAGAGATTCCGGCTTATAATTTGTTAATTGTTTCAAAACCGGTATAAAGTTCGATTGTTGACGAAGTAGATTGGGAATTTAGGACTAACCGGAAGATTGATAAGCTCAATGATAAGTTAACCAATATATTGCTATAGGAATATGGCAAAAAATTTAAATTAAACATTCTAAATGATCACTTCAAAATGAGCTTAGCTTATCAATGAGACATAAAGATGAAAACATTAATGAGTTGATGAATGAGATATTAACATCTGATTAATGATAAGTTAAATTATCAGTGGTAAAATCTTTAAAGCAAACAACATGTCTGATTCTCATTTCTTGCAATCTATTTGTTTGCTTACTCTCCTATTTCAGTATGTTTTAAGCTGTTTTTTTTTTTAGCTTGAAAAACTTGACAGCGCTGCTAGCTAAATTGCTAATACGATTCTTGATGTGAATTGCAAGGCTAGGCAAGGCTAGGCAGGCTAAGCTTGCACTGATTACATTCACTTAGGGAATTTGCCAAGCTAGGCTTATTGTTGGCAAGTGGAAATTTCTGATATCATTCGCCTCTTTCTTTTTCCTCTTTCATTAATTATTCATCCGTATAGGAACCTTAATTGTTTTTTCTTTCTTTTTTTTTTTTTTGTGACTTAGTTTGCTGTTCACTTTTATGAATTCATTCAGTAATATCAAAGTGATATATGCAAGAAAATTTGAAAATCATTATAGTTTTAATATTATTATTGATTTTTTTAGAGAGAAAAAAAAAACAAAAAACGAAGCGAAAGAAAAAACATAATTATTTGAGAGATTACGAAACTATACTTGAATGAAATCCGGAAAAAATGAAAATACTATCAAGAATTGTGATAATCGATAAATGGATGATTAAATTGATTACATATTTGAATAACCTATTATGATTATCGTTCATTTAAATGATAATTTAATTTTTTGAAAAAAACTGTCCCTTTGGCGCAAAAAAGTAACTTTTGCGCCAAAGATTGATTAATATCATATAAAATTAATTCACATGATATGCCTTACACTTTGTAAAAGAAAAAAAAAAACGTACTCATTGTTTAATTGATAAGTAATGGTTGGAGTTAAGCACAGTAATTTGAAATTAAGTACAGCAAGGTAAAATCAAATATAGTAAGGTATGGTAAGTTAGTAATGATTTTCAAGCAAAATACTAAAAAGTATAGCATTATTGCAAATTTCAATCATTTAACTATAAGTTATAACAAATTTAAATATCGGAATTATTTTCCAAAAAAAAAAACTCATTTAAACTTTTAAATAATGTGACAGTTTCATTTTCTAGTTCTGTAATTTTTGTTAATAAAAAATTAAAACGGAAATGAAAAAGATAAAAAGGACTTGAAATCTATGAATACAAGATATGAAAGTGAAATAGATATATTGATGAAAATGAATTTGAAAACAATTTTCAATTTACGGATTACAAATAAACCATGAAGGACCGGAAATGTCAATCCTGTAAACTAATTTAAAATACTTGGAATAATGCTAGAGAAGAGGATTTGAAATTTGTAATTCGATGAAATTAATTACTTGTAGCATCCAATTTCTACACTCAAAATAATCTCCTCCTCTTTCTTACTTTTTCATTAACTAGCAATTTCAAATTTAAACTAATATTAACTAGTTTGAAAAAGTTAACTTAAATTTAAAATGCATAAAATTTGTTATTTTTTCTAGTTTGGCTCTATAATATTTAATAATTTTTTGGTAGTAATAATTCAAGAAAGTTCTTAAAATTTCATTTCCATTTAATAAAAAAATAATAGTAAAATGGCAAATAAATTGAGGCAAAAATTTGTTTAAAATGAATTGGAAAAAATAAAAAATTTTTAGGGCTTGAAAATTAAAATCCATCCTTTTTTTTTTTTAAAGAGAGGAGAGGAATTGTGGTATTTTTGTGAACGAAGTTGACAATGAGAAATAAACAAACAAGGCGACAAAATATTTTTCAGTCTATAAGTTCAACTTATTAAATTGCTGAGCACTTAAATGTGGAGATTTGTGAGAGGCGCAAATTGCAAAGCATCAAAAATCGCTTGATAGGTGGCAATTTGGAAAAATAAAAGAAAAAAAAAACTCTAAAATCATGAAATGGCTTTCTCATGCTATTATTTCCAACAATTAATAAAATTAAATTCCTTAAATATCCAGAAATCATCCTTAAGGATTTTTTTTTTCACTTTTTGAGAGCTGAAATCAATACGAAATCTTCTCTTCTCTTAATGACTGGAAAAAGCGGAAGAATGAATGCTTAAATAAAATAAATGAAGATTTGCTAAATAAAGTTTATTAAAAAATTAATTAATTATCTGAAAGCAGCAACAGTGTTAAATTTACAAAATATTAGATTAATTTATAAAAATTTCAAAATAATTTAAAAAATTTTAATTCAATTTGCATAATATTAAATTAATTTACAAAATTTAAAAAAATTATTAACAAAATTTCAAGTTAATTTACAAAATTTTAAATCAAATTACAAAATTTCAAATTAGTTTAAAAATTAAAAAAAAAATTACTGCAATAAACGTTCGGATAAATTACAAATGAATATTACCCTTTTTACAATTTCTCTCTCTCTCTCTTTTTTTTGACATTTTTTCTCACAGCACTTGAAGAAAAATAAAAATTTAAAGTAATAATAATAGTAATAATAGCGATTTCGTAAATTTTCTTTCATCTCTTCCTACCTATTTCTCATTTATTTTACCTATCCATCTGATCTTTACTCAATTCATATAATTAATTGAATAGATATGATTGTAAACTGAATACAATAAGACGAACTTCATAAACGAACTTTAACCAATCTCATCTATCAACACACATTTTCTAGCACGAAAAAAAATAAAACTCTCACAAT